TCCTACTTGCACTAATTTAATATTTCGACCGCTTTAATTCAGGTTGTCACCATTTTATCTGTTCTCTCTACAATGCCAATCTGCTTCATGTAGAATGCTCAAATTTAGATTTTATATTTCGTAGACGCAAGAGAAACATTTAACGTAGAAAGTTATGAACAAGATGCTTTCTCTTGATATTCTGTTCTATAGAGTTATCTATGAAAGAGACATATTTTGCAGATGTAAGACAATAATTTCTCTTTTATTAATTATTTTCCGATAAACAATTTCAGTTGACAATTTTTCCCCGCCAAATCTATTTTTCTGCTTGTGATAGTCGTTTTGTCTTTCATTGGAAAGCAGTAATAAATGGAACCTATTTCAACAAACTTTAATATACACAAATGACGGCGATAATGCATTTTAGCTGACAACAAATAATGTTAAATAGATATTTCTTAGTTTAAATTGTTTTAACGTTTAAACATGAAGTTATTTTCAGGGCTAAGAAATAGTTTCATTCACACAATAACCACCTGCGATTAAAGTTTTGGCCTCTTACTCTACGTTGACAGCATCTTAGTTAGTATATATATATATATATATATATATATATATATAGTTGTATATTTAGGCAGCAATCCTTCCTTTATGTATGTTTCATTAAAAACGACAGACAGACGGTTAAGCTTTTTATTTTTCTTGTGTTTGAACAAGAGCTTTCTTTTCTGGACAAAGGGTGTGTAAGAACTGTCCGAATGTTTTATATTTCCAAGCGCTTTCGGCTATACCTTTAGCCATTATCAAGGATGATTCGATTTTCAGCTTAATTGAGTGTGTGCGTTACGCGTATGTCTTGTTGTGTGGTAAGGATGTTTTTAATTTTTAATATATGATTTTAATTTTTTAATATAAAACATTTGGACAGTTCTTACACACCCTTTGTCCAGAAAAGAAAGCTCTTGTTAGAACACAAGAAAAATTAAATAAAAAGCTTAACCGTAGTACCTTGTCTGTCGTTTTTAATGTCGTTTTATATATATATATATAAGGAGGTACGGGCACCCCAAGGAGGTGTAATGGTTAGTAAGCTTAGCTAGGGTGTGTTTGCTCATTGGCCCCTAATTTTTCTTTAATTTAATTCCCTATCCCCTCCCTCGCTAGATGGTCAGTGATGTCAGTTCTCTGGTGGATGCGGGGCGATTTTCGTTTTGTTCACGTCAGTGTTTTTTTTTTGTTTTTTGTTGTCGGGTCTGGATGAGTGCGTGTCTGTGTGAGTGCTAGGGATGAATGAAGGTTTTTTATATTTTTATAGGCCTGCATTGATTTCGTCCAGCGAACTGATGTTTCTGCCATATTTAAAGATTGTGTGCGTGTGTGTGTGTGGTGGGGGGTATTGCTAACAATGATTTTGTTTAGTTTCTTGTAAATAGATTAATTCATATTGTATATACTCATTGGGGGACATTTATAATTTGTTGTTTTATTCCCCACCACCCACATACGACGATTTGTATATATGGGGGCTATTTAGTTTTTTTTCATTGAGACAATGAGGTATTATGGTGGATGTACTAAGAAAGGTTAGTAAGAATGTGTTGTTTTGGTGTTAGGAATATTGTTTGTATATTTGGGTCAGTGCTTGTGGCTAGTTAAGTTTAAAATTAAGACAAATGAAGACCGTCCTTTTCCTCATCCCCTTTTTTAGGCCTTGTGCCACATTTTCTGTTTTTTTTTTTCACAGAAATAAATATCGTAATGGTTATCAAGCTTGTCTCGCTAGAACAATTACTACTGAGTAGTGAGTTTGATCCTCACTAGGTGCCCCATACCTTCGGCCTTAGGAAAATCACTATATAAGGAGGCACAGTGGAGTGGGAATCGGAGAGCCGAGTTCAAATTCCCGTCCGATTCACTTAAGTCGGAAAGTTATGGATCCTCTTATTCACCCCTCCAGCTATGGGTAAATAGCAGGGCAGCTTGGTTTCTATAGCCTTGGATGGCAACTGGTCTAGGAGAAGGACAATTCTGAATTCAAAACCTGCGTCCCTGTATTCGGCACTTTCAAAAATTTGGTTGGTTCTGCACAAAGCCTTCACCACTATAATCAAATCATATGTATTGGTGTCCTAGGAACTGAGTTGCTTGAACCTCATACGTCGAAAAAACGACTGGAGAGTCCAGCACACGCACACTCACATATATATAGTGTATGCGTAAAAATTCAGAAATAATTAAATTATACCTGTAAAAAGACAGAAAGACGAAAAGAAAACTATTCTTTACCAACACGTTTCGTCCGCTAAGTGATTTTATCAAATTAAATGTAAGGAAGTTATTTTGTAAGATGTGTTTATAAACTGAAGTGAAAGATATCGTTAAGTTTACCAAATCTTTTAATTTCAACACGCTCTGAAATATTCATAAAGCTGTGGAAATAAAGATAAACTATGGAAGACACTAAGTAACGTAATTTAATGTTGTTGTTGAATATTTTATTTTCTTATTTGTTTATATATACAGGTACCTCCAAAGATTAGCTAAAAAAATGAGCATACACGATAAAAATGCTTGAAACTTAATAAAAACATAATTTTACCGTTAAAATATTTGTTATAATTAAGAAGAAAGATCAAAGGATTATTTAGTGTAAAAATTATTTCAAACCCTTTTTAGAACCTTCGAAATTTTAGTTTCTCTTGTGTCAACGTTGTATGGGAAAAACTTTAGTGTCTTTTTAGTCTTTTAGTATCAGAAATGTTAGCGTCTTTTTGCAGCGCAAATCATTGATTTGAAAATATTTGCAAAAATTAGCTAATTGTGGGTTTTAATGAAACTTTCAGGACTTATTCACAAATCAATGAAATTATTTTTGGAATGTTTCTTTTTTAGGAAATCTTTGTACAAATATTTTTTTTTAAATCTTTTAACCCCCACTTATTTAATTTTATAATTCTTTTTTGTAGCATTTAATGTCGATATTAGTCATAAGGAAAAGTCATCGGAGAATGTAAATCATTAATTTTGGGGGTCAAAGATTACTGCTCTGATTCTTAAAATAAAATGTAATAAAAATATGACATAATTTAATTAGAAAATTTTTTTAATTGTTTTATGCATAAAATATTTTATGTACAGTATTGTCTTAAGAAAATTATTTTTTCGATAAATGATGAATTTTTACAAGAATTGTTTTCACTTTTTAAAGAAAAATTGATTAAAATACTTTTTAAAATTTGAAATATTTTAAAGATCTGTATAAATTTTCACCAGTTAAGTCACATTATTATTATTAAATGAAGACTATTTACTAATCATAAATGGGAAAGCTAAGTACAAATCAACGACCCCCAATATTTTAAAAAGAGTTTTAAATTTATTTTATATGTATAAACGTGCTGATTTTTGTAACTACGGATGTCCGAACTACGGATGTACATGTTATTTTAATTTAATTCTTTCACAAGTGTATTCGGTACTTTTTAATACTACTGTTTCCTGGTCTGATTCAATATATATATATATATATATATATATATATATATATATTATGCATTATTTTAATACCTATACTCGGGCGGTGTGAAAAATATTCGGATGATACAATCTGTAAATAGAAATATATTTGAACAAATCGATATCAGGGAAAAAAATCAGTAAAAATAGAAAACACTAAAGACATCCGTATTGGTTGAAAATAATCAATCAGCAATGTCTAGCCAATAGAAAAAAAAATACATCAACCGAGTAAATTAAGTAAAAACCTAAAAGTGCTCAATACACAAAGTAGAGCAAATCAAAGTACGGCAGTAGTATCCTGAAGATCCGTTACGTGAAACCTTGGCAGGTAGGTTCTGGAACGCTAGATCTGTTATATATATATATATATATATATATATGTATATATATATATATATATATACATACATTTATATATATATATATATATATGTGTGTGTGTGTGTGTGTGTATGCCATTCGCAGACAGTACTGTTTCGCTGTATCACAGCTCCTCAGTGCGACTAGACAATCGAATGCCACAAGCTCGGATCGAAACACAACCGATTTGGTGTCAGACAGAGCTTCTACCACTGAGCCATCTTCACTCGACAGAATGAGTCGGCCAAATCTAGCGTATTGTTTTTACAAACGTAAACAAACGTCACGCAGCCAATGTGCTGCATTATATATGTAACTTGATCGATTGATTGATTTTTTTCTAGGGCTTATCAACCTTTGTAGGCTATTTAAATCCAGAAAATACTTTTAGTCTGTAGGCTATTCTTGGGAGAAAAGAAGGATTTACTGATACACATTTTACTTATTAACCCATTGCTGGGGAAGTTGAGGTGGATTCTTACCTTTTCCAGTTGTAATAGCCAGGAAGGGAATATAGAGAACCGAATTGAAATTAGAACTCACCTCCCAGAATTCCAATCACAACCCATTATCCACTATACCACAAGATTACAGCCCCTGGTATTGTCAAGCGGAACCCATCTAGGAAATAACAAGGCTCGGCGTTGAATCGATCGCAGATCGTACGAGAACTAGTATTTCAACGTGATTTGGCAGCAAGCATATATATATAGATAGATAGAAATGTGTAGAAAGATTGAAAGGCGTATAAAAGGAAGTGGCAAAAGACAGAAAGGTGTGTATGTGTGTGTATGTTTGTGTGTGTGAGAGAGAGAGTGTGTGGGGGTAAAGAGAGTGTGTATGTATGCAGTTGTGTGAGAGATATAGAAAGTGGGAGGGAGAGATCGTCCATTGATGTAAGAAGAGAGAAAAAAGACGTGTCATTTGGGAAAGCGGGCCTGGATGGATGACGTCCTTGTGTTAAGGGGAGGAAACGTGCCCGTAGGAATGTGAACACCTGTGATAACCCCTGTCACGTTTGACGCGTCGAACTGCCTCTCGTTTTTCCGGAACACCTGCATGATTATGGGACACACGCGATGCCTCGACGCACGTCGCCAGTTTCAATGGGAGTGTAATCTACTTACCGTTCCTTTAAGGTAATATACACCAGTATCTATCTATCTATCTATCTATCTATCTATCTATCTATCTATCTCATTCTGTTCAGATCTATCTATCTAGCTCCGTCTGTTTAGATCTGTCTATCTCTCTCTCTCTCTCTCTCTCTCTCTATATATATATATATATATATATATATATATATATATATATATATATATATCAGTCTATTCAGATCTATCTATCTATCTCATTATGTTCAAATCTATCTATCTAGCTCCGTCTGTTTAGATCTATCTATCTATCTATCTATATTCTATCTATCTATCTATCTATCTATCTATCTATCTCAGTCTATTCAGATCTATCTATCTATCTATCTATCTATCTATCTATCTATCTATCTATCTATTCCTATCTGTCTTTCTGTTTATCGTAGGCTGTTCTAGAGACACAACGATATGAAAAAATACAATTTATCACAATTAACGGTATTTTCGTGCTATTGCCGAAATGCACTGATAGTTTTGAAAATTTCTGATACATACAGGCTGAAATACTGTCAACTGATAAGTTATCAACACAATGAACTTTTTGTCACGACAATAATACCAACAATTAAATTAAGATAATACCAACAATTAAAAACAAAACAAAAAAAAAAACAAACTTAACCGTCGAGGATTCTGTCATGGTGTAGCGTAGAAATGACATGCGTTGCATGTTGAGAATTTCATATCTAATTCTGTTAAGTCTGGATGATCTTGCGATCAAAGCACTCTCTAGACATTTCTTCTTTGTGAATTGTTTTCTCAAGGTTAGCATTTTTTAAATGAAAATTGTGGTCAGTCTGGTGGACAACCAACACATTTGACATATTATTTTGTAAAATGTCCCTTTTGTGTTCATATAATCTTTTATTTAGATACCTTGACGTTTCTCCTATGCTTAGAGAGTGCCTTGATTACAAGCTTATCCACAATAAAATTGTGCCCTGGCTCTTACAACATTTCACCATTCTTGGTAGAATTTCTATTATCACAGTGTGGGATAACACAAGTGATGGAAGCATTAACATTATTAACAGCTACAGAATTTTGAAAAGAAATATTACCAGAAATACATTTTTTGAAAATAAAATTACCAGCAATAAAAATTTTGTCGCTATTAAATAACCCATTGAGGTTGATATACCGTAAAATAAACCAAACCAAACCAAACCAAACCAAACCAAAGTAAACATTTATCAGTTTATATCTAGTATCCATAATTATCTGCTTTTTGACAGAAGTTACAGTGTGGAAATTCGGCAGATTACATTTTACCAAAATGGATTTTTCTGCGTAAGTATAACAAGTAAAAACGCAAACCATATTTCATACATAAACGTATCTCCTCCCCCGCAAAAGAAAATATAAAAATGCTTCCTTTTTAATTAATTTATTTTTGAAATGTCTTAACACAAATAAACTAATGATTAATTTGAATACACTGCTTAAAATATCTTCTATTAAATGATTGTCGTCTGCTTTTAATTTTAATTAGAAATCCATTCACAATTACAAGTTAAACGTCTAACATCTATTTTTTTTCTTTTCGATATTAATTTCCACTGAACTTCAAACGAAAACTTTTTTTTGTTGTTCTTGGCGTGTGTTTTCTATTATTGTATATGTGAAAATACTTCTAAAAAGCTGTAATTCAAATTACAACTTTAGTTTAAAAAGTCCCCTAATTTTTTTTGCAAATCTCTGTCGTAAAAAGACAGCATGCATTTATTTATTTACTTTTTTATTTTTCTGTAGCAAATGTAACTAAAATAAAATATTTTAAAAATAAAAATATATTTTTTAAAATAAAATGTTTTAAATAATTACTGCAATATTTTACGATATCAAATTAATGTTTACTTTTTTTAACAAGATACTTGGACATATTAAAATTTTTCGACCTTTTTAAATGGAATTTATGAACAGATTTATTTTTACTTTATATATAGATTTCGTATATTTTCCATATGAAACAAGCTATCTGTAAAAATTTTATTTTATTCATTTTCCATGTTTACAACTACATTGTGAATAAAATGTTTATTATTTAAACAAAATAATATATACAACACGAAAGAGATGTACTGCTGTTAATGACTTTTTTCTGTTTGTTTTCTCCAATGGTGAAAAACGATTGAAATATTATTTCTGTTAATCGTCAGTGATGAAAGTGTTCAACAAACTCCAAAAAGAAAATCCCTTTATAATTTCCGGATGAGAGCATCACGATCCGCTGAAACTCCATTACAAAACAGGCTTGATTTAGATTCAACAAAATATGAGAGTGTACAACATATACCTTTTGTTAACTTCCACAAAATTGCATTCCAATACAATACTGATTATGCAAATCATAAAAAGTTGCCCCTTGGGTCAATAGATATCCAGTGCCATTACTGCAATGCCATAAGATTCAAGAATGAATCTGATAATATGGTGTTGGAAGAAAGGAAAGATTCAACTTTCAATACCTCCTGAGCCACTCTTCTCTCTCTTGAATGGGATTTCTCAAGAATCAAGAAATTTTTTTAGCACATTAGGGCTTCCAATAATCGCTTTGCTATCATTTCATTTGGAGCAAAAGATGCAACATTTCCAGGATGGAAATCAAATTTCAGAGTTGAGGGTCAGGTTCATCACAGGATTGGTTCCCTTCTACCATTATCTAATCAGCCACACCAATTTCTTCAAATCTAATTCATAGAGGACTACGAAGCACAAACACAGACCTGAAGAAATATTCTTGATAAACTGAAGTTTGACATTATATTGACTCTTCAAGAGTTTTTGCATGGGCACAATGTTTATGTTAGGGATTTCAAATCAGCTAATGAAAGAGATGGACCTAAAGATATCAGAATTGTGATTAGAGCTGACAAAACGCCTTTTGGTGAGCACCAGAGGATGTTCAATACACTATGTACCAATGAGGTAGTTACCTTAATAGTTGGCTAAGAATGTGACAAAAGGGATATCGTTCTCCAGAGGCATGATGGAAGTCTTCAAAAAGTTGCAGAAACTCACAGAGCTTATGATGCCTTACAATATCCACTCTTTTAGCAAGGAACAAATAGATATTTTCTCCTCAAAGATATTTGAACACTGGATTAACCACAAACAAAAAATATTAGCCATGGACTTCTATGTATACAGAATTATAATAAAGAGTAACAGTAATAATTATCTTTTCAGTTTCAAGCAACTATTCAACCAGTTCTTGGTGGATATGTATGCAAAAACTGAATCTGAAAAATTCCTTTTTTATCAAAATGAATCAAATGGAACTAAGAGGAGAGGAATAGATCGACATAAAGGATGCAATTCAGAATCATGGCAATGCTTTCAATGCGAGATACACAGTTATTCTCCCTTCATCATTCACAGGTGGACCAAGGTACATACATGAAAGAGTTCAAGAAAGATTGGCTTATGTCAGACATTTTGGTAAACCAGATTTGTTTATTACAATTCCGAATTGGCCTGAGATTTTAGAAAATCTTCTTCCTTGACAATCTGCAACAGACAGGCATGATATTGTTGCTGTTGCAGTTTTTTGTGTATATATGTTTACTAGTGAGCAAGTCAAAATGATTTGACTAATTTTATAGTCCACCAAGAGAAGGGTTAACCAATCAGAAGACGTAAAATATTCAATCCGTCGTGTATAAAGGCGGCCATTTTGTTTACTCTCTCCGAATGTCCAGTGCCAACTTGTCAGGTGAAGAGGAACAGAAGGAAGAACTACTGAACTACGCTTTGCTACTTTACCGGGATATCCACTGCTAACCTGAACTACGCTTCCCTACTGTCTTCGAAATATTCACTGCTAACCTCTGGATTCTATACTCAAAGACGACCGTCATCATGAACAACAGTTGCTAGGATTTTTAAGCCGATGGTCAACAAACTGATGGATCTCATCAATAAAGAAAATTATTTGGCTCTGTAAAATATCACATGTATTCAAATGAGTGGCAAAAGAGAGAGGTGAATTAACAGGAGATAACTGATAACTGACATCCATTAGACATGGCACGTGGAACTAGAACAGTCTACCCCAGCGAGCTAAATAAATTTTCCTATCTGTCTTTCTATTTATCGTAGGCTGTATCAGTTTGACATTCCAATCAGCTGAATAAGGCCGGATCGTACAACGGCCGAAACGTTGTTATAAATATGGCAACAAAGATGAGGACAATAGTCTGAATAATGTAAATAATGTATATAATACCTCACCTCAGAAATATTGAGATATATTAATATTTTACCTTATTTTTTTCTGACTTTTAGTTTCTTTTATTTTAATTATTTATTTTATATCACTTTCAAATACACACAATAATAATACACACACAATTAATAATAAATGTTATTCTGTATTTTCATCATTTGTAATTTCTAAAGGAGCGACGAACAATAACATTAAATGGGAAGAGTTAAGAATGCAAATAAGGTAGGAATTCTTTAAAAAAAAAATCTTAGGTGACATGATGTGAAATTTCGAATATCCATAATTGTAATTCTCTTTTTTTTACTCTAACGATATCTGCATATTTTACACTTCTATAGAATCCTATATGTTTTTAATATAGAAAGTGAAGAAGAACGTTTATAATATCCACAAGGACAGATGGCCCAGTGGATAAAGACGTTAGTTAGATCCAGTGACAGGACCCAAAGAGCCGACAAAGAGTGTGAGTTCAATACCTGGTTAAGGCGGCGGAGAACTTGGAGAGGGGAATTAACAGGAGATAACTGATAATTAGTTAGATCCAGTGACAGGATTTACAATACCAGGCCACAAGTAGTGGTGAACTAAAAACTTGGAGATTTGAAACACTTGGAAGAGGCATGACACGTGAAACTAGAACAATCTACCCCGGTGGACGAAATAAAAGGTTCGGTTTGAAATTCTAATCACCCGAACAAGGCCGGAGCGTACAACGGCCGAAACGTTGTGAATATGGCAATGAAGATGAGCATGATAATCCGAATAATGTAAATAATGCAAGTAATCATAATACCTCATCTCAGAGATCCAATCACGTGCCGAAGGCCGGAGAATACAACGTTGTGAATATGGCAGCGAAGATGAGGATAACAGTGTAAATAATGTAAGTAATCAAAATACCTTATCTCAGAGAGCCAATCACGGGACGAAGGCCGGAGAATACAACGGTCGAAACGTTGTGAACATGGAAATGAAGATGAGCAGGACAATGCGAATAATCTAAATAATGCAAGTAATCATAAAACCTCATCTCAGAGATAGAGACAGATATCCACAAGAAAAAAAAAATAAGAAAATAACACTAACAACCCTGATAAAAAAACAACAAAAAAAAACATGGAGAATAATACCGAGAAACTCAATTACGACTAAAATTGAAAAAAAAAAT